CCGGACGCCAGAGAACGAGATCTGCAAGCAAACCTGGAGCCACTGCGCCTACCAAGTGACTCACTCCGTGCGTAATCGCGCTAGGACCAGCTTCTCAGATTGGAACGCGTTGTCAGGGTTTCGAGGTGCTCACGGGTTAATCGTATACTTGGAAACGTATCGCTTCACTCTACCATTGTCCTTCCCCTCTTCGTCTCCTAGGTCTTTCAGGGGTCCGCTGATCTCTCTCATTTTACTTGCTGTTCTCCATGTCCTACTGATGACTTCTCCCACGCGTCCCATTGCTTGAGAGTCAGACGAAATCATGGAAATTGCACCAATGTCGTGGAGAACATCTTCGGCTGCGACTGTCTCCGCTCGAATACGGGATTCTGCAAAGGCCAGATCTTCGGGGATGGAACGGTCAAGGTGATGACAGACCATTAACATCTATCCGAGGAGGAGAGTCTGATTTGATGTTCTGACCCTGCAGAAGGGATACTTACATCCAGGTGCTCGTCCAACGTGTTGCGAGCGTATGGCCGAGTCGGGTTTGTTGACGACGGTAGAACATTCTCATGTTCACAAACCACGATGATATCCGGCGCATGTCCACCCCCTTGGAAAAAGATAAATGAAACCAAAGGTCGTTAGTGCGTGTTGGACTCCACCCACCAGCTCCTTCCGTGTGATAAGTGTGAATTGTCCTGCCACCGAACGCCTCGATGGTGCCTGCACATGTATTCTTAAGGTGAGAGATAATGTAATGAGTGGTACGTACTTTCGACGAACCCGCTTTCGTTGAGGGTGTCAGTGTGAATGTTGACCTGTACGTCGTATTTGTCCGCAACGTCCAATGCATTCCTAATAACGGCAGGTGTCGAGCCCCAGTCCTGATATGAAAGGTCAAGAATCCTTAATTGGTGAAGCTGAGAAGTTATGAAACGCACTTCGTGAAGCTTCAACCCACATGCCCCAGCCCTAATGATTTCCTCCAGAGGCTTCGGTTCAGAATCATTCCCCTGGTGGGGTGAGTGAGCATTCGGCCAAGCCTTCCTGAAACTTTGAAGCTAATTAACCTTTCCAGTGAAGCCAAAGTTCATTGGGATGCTATCTGTGCTCTTCAGCATCGTTTCCAGATACCACGGACTGGGAGTACAAGTCGTGGCGTTAGTTCCGGCGCTCGGGCCCGTTCCACCTCCAATCATAGTAGTCACACCAGAAGCCAGACTTTCGGGCCATTGCGTTGGCGAGATGTAATGAACGTGCGCGTCAACACCCCCAGCTGTAACTATGAGATGTTCGCCTGCGATAACTTCGGTCGTAGAACCCACGACCATGCCGTCCGTCACAGAGGACATGATGTCAGGGTTACCAGCATTCCCTATACCAACAATGTGTCCCCGAGAAATGCCAATGTCGGCCTAAAGACCGGTGCCTCAGTTGATGCTGAGGTGGAAAAGGATGGCGGGTGACAAACCTTAAAGATCCCTGACGCATCAATAACCAATGCGTTTGTAATGACCAGATCCAGTGCCTCTTCACTTCCACGTCCAGTGGCTTGGCCCATTCCCTCGCGCAGAGTCTTCCCTCCACCAAACTTACATTCGTCTCCATAAACAGTGTAGTCCTTCTCGACTTCGATCCACAACGCAGTGTCACCAAGCCTGATGCGGTCCCCTAAGGTAGGTCCATACATAGATGCATACGCCTTTCGCCCTATAATGTTCTCATATTCACCAACCGATTCACTTTCAGACGCTGGAATCTTAATAGCAGTGGGTTCAGGGACATGACCAAAGCCCTTTGGATCAACGTTGGAACAATGGTGTCTGTTCGGCTGAGATCCAAAGTCGTACCGGTCGCGAGATTGTTGCCTCCCGAAATACGTTTATGGCGGAGATAGATGTGAGGGTAACGGTCCTTGTATCCCAGGTTCAAAGCGCACAGCCGTTCCCGCGGAATGTTAAGGCGTTTCCATATGCAAGTGCCCGATCGAAGTGAAGAGCTCGGTTCGTTTCAATGAAGTGATAATGCGAGCCGATCTAGCGACCGACCGGTGCCAATTGAACGCCAAGTAATACTCAAGTTCAGCCATGTACATGCCCAGTGCCATGCTGCATCAAATGAAACTCACCTGTACAGGGCGGTCCCCAGTATTCGTCACTTTCAACCAAACTTTCTCCTTCCTTTGTTGAGCACGATCGGCTCCTTTCCCACAATGACAGCCCAGGGGCCGCTTTCCTCGAATGTAGTTCCGGTTTTTCATTGAGAATAGGGCGTTGGATGGGACAGGCAAAAATGAGCCATATAATGCATTGTCGAGGGGCAATCATCGGTACAGATCGGATCGTGAACGGTCACAAGGAATACCCTCCAGTCAAGCAAACATTTGAGATGAGGACCGATACAAGGCTCGATCGATAAGGCTGGACTTACCGTCCTCGAAAGTCCCTTCAACTTGCACGTCATGTAATAAACACTAACGCCGGGCAGAACGTGTCTCCTGGAAAGATCTCCTTTCCGTGCTGCATTAGCTCAGCGACGCTATGCTTCCCATCGCGAATGCGTTCTTGCAACTGGAACGCAATCACCGCAATGGCCTCAGCCAGATTCAACTTAAGACCACGAGCAAGGCGACGCTGGGCCAGAGACCCGGTTTGGTAAATTATGAGCTTATCAAGTTCCCTTGGCGTAAGGCGCATGGCAGTGGCAAGCAGTTGAGTTCGAATCCCCGCAACCAAGGATGCAGTGATCTTGTGACTGATGTGGGAACCCTGTGGGAGATAACATAACAAATCGACCTGTGTTGAGCTTGTGAGAGCGAACATTGAGATAGGCACTTTCGCGGCCACCGTGGAAGAGTAGTGGGCAAGGTGCACGGTCTAAGCCATTACCTGCACACTTCCTATCGATAGTCTTGAAATTATGTAGTCACAATCTGCCAGTTTTGCTTACGCGCGTTCGCTCCAAGTTTGCATTCTGCGTCGATATTTTATGTTGCTCCATCCATTTTTTCCTCCCATTTCGTTATCATCTTTGGCATTGTTCGTGTTATCTCCCTCTCCCATTGGTCTGCGCTCTGCGTCTTTCCCCTTAACTCCCTTCCTGTACGGCCAGACCCTCGGAGCATGATGTACATTTACAGCAAGAGACAGAAAAATCGCGCGTCCGCCTGCATTCTCATAGAGGCTGGTAACCTGCCTAGCGTCCGCGCGCCCTAACTGACTCGACGTTTTCTTTTGCCTCTTGCTGTAAGTCATTCGCACATTCACGGAGACTTGAGAACTAGAGGTTACGTGTGTAAGCAGAATTAATGATAACGTTTAACGCGACACCATTCTCGATCTCTCTAGCTCTCTCCCCACTCAGTTCGAATCCAATAGTAACTCTCCTGCCCGAAGGCCTGCACCCACAGTATCCATTAACGACAGGACAGCCATGCCCATGACCCATATACATGCTTTCAATGCATTTCTGTTCGTCGGTATGGATATTCCTTCATCAGAGGTGGGAATGGAGCTGCGGCTACCTGCGGCCATAGGACTCGGAAAGCACCGCATCCCGTCTGATCTGCGAAGTTAAGCCGAGCACCGCTCAGCTAGTACCATGGTAGGGACTACATGGGAATCCTGAGTGCCGCAGTTCTCATTTTGGTTTTTCCTTCCAGTTGGCCGCCTCACTTTTCTTAATTCCCGGACTACGAGTGCGACGACACAACAAATTAATAACTTGTTCCTAAGTACGTCAATTGGTTATTTATCATTCGTCCTACACCAGACTCGTCTCCGCTACGTGAACGCATACTATGTATTACAATTCAGTTGACTATTATTCGCATTTTCCTCTCATCTTTTCTTTGCATCTATACAGTTTCTTCAGAATGTGTTTCCGCTAGCTGGACCCCAGCCTCTACTAACATAGACATCTACGAATATACAAGCGGAAGAGGATCAATCGACTTGATCTTCAAAGATGGATCTCCCGGCCCAGGTGACCCAAGCTACTTAGGTCTGCTGGTGATCTCTCGCGGAACGTCCCTACTGCTTTTGGGCGTCTACATTGCGTATTTGATCTTCCAGTTGAAGACTCATACTGGCCTGTTCATGCCCGAGGTTGAGGGGGAGATGGAGGAGGAACCTGCACAAATGAATGTAGTGTCTACCAGCGTTTCGTGAGTTCATTCAGCACCAATATCCTGAATGGGGTTTTCCCTTTCCAACATAGGCTTCTCGCTGTCACGATCCTTACCTCTTGCAGTGCCGATTGGCGTGAGCGAATCCTATCTGATTCTTGCGTACTTAGTAGCCTTACGATATTGTTGTTATTGAGTTGCTTCTATTGAAGAGGCTGCTGACAGATACTCGATCCCCAGACATTTCACCGGTCTCGTTCTTGTCCCGTTCGTGGTGCGAAGCGATGATCCATTGTCATTCTGGACTGGCACCCTATAGGCAAATGCAGGGGGCTGTTCACAAGTGTTTTGATGGCTGCGAAGGGGAAAATGGAAATGATGATAGGCCTTGGCGTTGCAGCTCGATCGTACCTTACTCAGCTAGAGCTTTTGACGTTCAACGTTGAGCCCAAATTCATTATAGCAAGTTGCTACTTTCGTCATCCCTCTACTTGTCACGATTGGGTGGATGTGAGTCTCAAGCCCAGCTCTGCGTCCTGCGGGAACCCTCTCAGAATTCGCCACGACTTGACGCTCTTCTTCGCTAATCTGGAGTGAGGATCTATTTTGCCGTAGATGGCCGTGAAATTGATGCGATTCCTTTCCAAGACTGCGACACTTTTCGTCAGCGTCCTTTTAGCCAATCTTCTTATCCAGTGGGTCGTTCCAGATCTAGTGTAGCCGTCCAAATGACTCACTTATTTTTTTCAGGAAGGGGAAATCGAATTACATGGATGATTTGATGTACATTTATTCGTGCTTAATGCTAGATTTCCCGACCCGACTACAGGTTGGTAACCCTCTACATCGTTATTGCGCTCGCATGTGAGTTCCTTCCTCGTCTCTCCCATAACGGACGTTGTACATTCATCGACTCAAATTGCCTTCGTCCAATTCCTTTGGCATCTAACAGTTGGGTATCCTAAAAATGTGTTTGTTTTCCTGAAGGATTTTTGTCTTTTCATCTTCGTCCTCGTCTTGGCCCTTGTTCCCATATGCTCTTTCCCCAAATTGGAGCGTTCGTATACCAGTCGTTTGTTTAATTTTTTTTTCTTTGACGCAGGCTCATTTCTATGGCCTCGTTTCCTTGATCTGCCCCCCTATTTGCGGGAGATCACTCGATAACGTTTTCTGCTGTGCTCATGATCCCTAGAGGATGCAAACTGGGATATCCAACACCGATTCACGCGGATCATGTCGCATAGCTTAACTGGGTGGCTGCAGATTCAGAACATCCGATATCGCTGAACACAGCCTTCGTTATGAACCTAGCTCGTCCATGTAAGAGCTAGTGCTCATCCACCAACAACACCACACTCGGTTCACGAATTAAGCCTTGTAGTGACGTCTCGGAAAGATGTCCATGTGAAGCAATTATTACCACGCATTCCCTAGTCGCTTCGATGAATAATCCAACAGGAATGCTGGTGCAAGCGTATGGATCTGGCCACCTAGACATTCAGGGACCGGACTCTCTGGCCGAATAGCGGTCTGACCATGAATCAGTAGAGGAGAATGTCAGACTCAGGGCAGTGTAGAGTCGACCGACTCCAGCAACGTCACTGCTGAGTTTGTAAATTAAGTTGAGTGTAAGGGATCCAAATTTTTTAAAAATTACTGAGCGACAAACGAATTGATTATGTTGCATGTGAGATAACCTGACAGACATTAGCACCCGGAAACTAGATCAACGGGCTTGCGCACCACTTCTCATTCTACTGGGGAAGAGAGGATGAGCATATAATCCCAATTGCCAGGTCTACCCGCAGCCGGGGGCGGACAGAGACCAGCTCAACTGACGTGTCAATGTGTCTCGTGCCTGTGCACACTCCAATCTGGTTTGAAGATTTGTTTCCCCAATTTTCCATGCTTGCTATACATGTAGACTCAGTCTCGATATGGAGAACTAATAAATTGTCCCTTTACCTGTACGCGTAGACTATAACATGAGAATACAATGAGTTATACGCAAACACAGGAAAAAGGCACCTCAATCTCGGTATGGAGAACTGAGGGAGAGGGAAAAATTACGGCATCCAGTGTATCTTATATGTACAACTAGAGCCAATATCGCTTAAAGCGATTTCTTGTGATGAAACGACAATCAAGATTGAGAGCGCGGGGTATCGGTGAAAAATCGCGACTGAAACAAATTGGGTATAATCGTTGTTAGCCACGATGATATTAAGTGAAAGTCTCACAACTCCCGAACCAGTAGATCGGCAGTCGTAGATGAGCGTTGATATTCCAACACGAATTTTTATGAAACGCTTGAACAACTTGGGCAACCGTGATATCTGCACAGCGCATCCCTGTGGCTTGGAATGGCCCCAGCTTAGCTGCGCCACAGTTGAGAGTATCGAAAGTTGAGAGGGGCAAAGACATCTGACTATGCCGAGTAACATAGGAACTGTTGCTGGTAGGGGAGGGTGATATCGACTGGTTGGAAGAACAAGAGTGCTTGCGCATCACTGCGACACTGGGGCCGATAAAGACTTGAGTTAACGCATTAAGCAAATTATTCAGTTCGCGGCCACCCAAAAAAAAACAAACGGGGGGGTCCGACTTCGTGTAGTGTATCGATTAATGTCCAGAGTAAGTGTGAAAAAGCGAGTGAAGTGTGAAGAGAGTAGGCAAAATGGCCTAGTGATCCATCAGAAGCACTGTCAATAAACCCACTCAGTATGGTTTATTTTAATAATGCTTACATTTAGTTGGCATAAAGTTGGCATGTAAATGTAGCGAGATTGTAGATGGATTGACCCAAAGACCGGGTACAGGGATAAGAGAGGAAGATAGATTATCGAATACAACGAAAGGACCGTAACTGCGTTGTTGTAAAACCGCAATTGTTCTGCATGGCAAGGCGAAGGCGGCAGCTGTCTTTTAAGAGTCAGAATCTTGAAAACTATCAGCGCCGTCATGATAGCATGGTCCAGGCCCGCGAGGGTGAAGAGAGCGATCTCGATCTTGGTGGATGTGTACGAGTTAGAGGGCTGCATGCAAATGTGACTCACGGAGTGTCTGTCTTACTGGAAGTTGAACATCTTGCTCCCCATACGCTGACGTGAAAAAAAAGACGTTCCAAGTGAAACATAATGCTAAGACTCCTCGGAGATCAGAAACTTGACTATTCTATCGAAGCTTTCAACCCACCCGAATAAACCACCCAGCAGAGTGCTGGTCCAGCACAGACTCTTAAAGAGAATTCCCAGATAAAACATAGCCTCCAGAGAAGAATGAGGTCGTGTAGAACGATCTGAAAACGCTGACTTAAAGGAGTACTTAATCGCAGTGGATGAAACACCTACAGATAACCCAAGTACGACAAGACGGAGCTGGTGCCATAGAATGGATGACTTGGATGTGTCAATTACAATGTCGGGGTATCCCTCCATTTCCGGTTGTTGATGAAAGATGGACAAACGCATCATTGCAATACCGAGGAAGGTATGGGATGCCGCCACCAAAAAGCCTGCATATAACGAGACTCGTAGAAAGGGGGATAATGCTCTTCGCTTTCTCGTGAAAAAACTCCAAGTGATGAGAGACGCATTAACCGCTGGCCCTTGATGAGCATCTCCTCACAAGAACCCCAATCGACAGCTCACTAAAAAGTGTTGTCTCGACGAGAGTGGATAACATTAATGTTGACGGCCACAATCCCTGGTCCATTGCAACATCGAGTTCAGCGATGTGAGGGCGATAAGAGGCAAAACTAATGTTCTGAGCGAAGGTCGAAGTCGAGTATTATTTAAGCTAATAACTGAATAGTGGCCCATCCGGCCGAACCTGCCCCGTGACTATTCCCACGACACGACCATTCCCGTGATTACGTACGGAAACCCCACATAAACGAGCCACACATTTTGTATGTCATCCACTCACGTGAAGCTGAAAGCATCTGAATCTACTGAACCATTTCATTAAGCCGAGAAATCGAGAGATCTCAGCGCTAAGGATGGCTCAGCTAGCGGGCCGTCTTATCGGTGAATAATCCTATCTTTTTCCACATAGTACTTCTGTTTAAACCCCCAATTTTTCAGTGCCTCTGGCGGTTGGTGTTGGTTTGCTTCAGGCCAGTTTATACGATGTACCAGGTGGTTACCGTGCTGTTATGTTCGACAGGTTCTCTGGGGTGAAGGACGAGGTATGCGGAATCTCCCTTGCTGCCCACTCTATATAACGCTACTTCGGGCCAGGCCTCTCCAGAAGGAACCCATTTCCTCGTACCCTGGATCCAGAGAGCTATTCTCTACGACTGCCGCACAAAGCCGAGGGTGAATGAACACCCTTCTGAAATGCGTACAGTTCTTCATACTTTTTCAGAATATTTCAACAACTACTGGCTCGAAGGACTTGCAAATGGTGTCAATCACTTTGCGTGTTCTCTCACGTCCAGACATCAAGCATCTTCCAAAGATCTACCAAACTCTTGGCATGGATTATGATGAACGCGTCCTCCCATCCATCGGGAACGAAGTTCTCAAGGCTATAGTTGCCCAGTTTGATGCAGCTGAGCTGATTACCCAGAGAGAGCTGGTAAGCCTAACATTCTGTCCTTTGGTTTTTAAGTGCGATCGACATTCCATTCAGGTTTCTTCAAGAATTCGTGAGGATCTTCTGCAGCGCGCTAGCGAATTTCACCTCAAATTGGAGGATGTTTCCATCACTCATCTAACCTTCGGAAAAGTCTGTCATCTTTCAAACCGTGATTACTTATAACTGATTTCTGCCCCTTCGTATAGGAATTCACTGTGGTACGCTACATGAATGTCCAAGGATTTTTTATTTTCCCAGATTGAGTTGCATCCCAACAGGCTGTCGAAGCGAAGCAGATTGCTCAGCAAGGTAAGGATACTCGGCCTACCGCAGCATGCCTCTACTGAGTGCGACTTCCCTTTGTAGATGCTGAACGTGCTAAGTTCATAGTGGAGAAGGTTTGTCACATCTAGCATTCCGAGGCCGGTTGGTCACGTCCTTAATATATCAGGCGGAGCAAGAGCGTCAAGCTGCCGTTATCCGAGCCGAAGGCGAGGCAGAGGCTGCTGCCACAATTTCCCGCGCTTTGGATCGTGCTGGCGAAGCCTTCGTCACATTCCGAAAAATTGAGGCAGCCAAAGCCATCGTGCAGAGTCTCAGCCAAAATAGGAATGTCACGTATCTGCCGACTGGCGGACCGAACGGAAGTGGGATTCTGTTGAATGTACCAGCACAACAGCAATGATTCGTGGTCGTTCTTCTGTATTCTATGGATCATCCTGTCTACTTCATAGGTATCCATTGCACAACTTACACCATGAAAGGGGGCTTTCCGGTTATGGAATAGTACGAGAAGAAATAAATAGGTACAAGGCGCGCCCAACGGAAGAATCGGGGAACACTCATCTAACGCAGAAGTTCAAGCATTAGGGAAAGATCGTACGGAACTCCAATCGTCGTCATCGATTATTAGCCATTCGGATTCCGAAGGGGTTCGATTTTTGTTGACCCCTTGTCGTCCTGGAGATTGAGAAAAGGGCTCTCGTCATCATCGTTATCCGGTCCATCTCCGTTAACACTGCTGTTCGCACCGCCTTGAGAGGAGCCCGTCGTGGTATCACTATTGATGAGAGTGGATTTCCAACCTCTGGATCGCATGTCTTCGTAGAACGTGTTGGCGGAGTTCATCTTCTGCGCCTCTTCGTCTACGCGATCTAGCCAACGTTGGAGAAGGGTCGCATTGTCCACTTTGAGAGCCTCATTCCGAGATATCACCTGGTTGAGCTCCAGAGTGAGAGACTGAATTTCGTCGTTCAATATCTAAAGGGTGTCGTGGTAGGCTATGGGCGAAGACAATTGAAATTTGAAAGGCTCACCTGAACACTTCTGTCCTTCTCGAGCATGATTTCCTCGTGTTGCTCAACCTTCCGCCGGGACGTCGCAATTTCATCTCTTGCTTTGCGCAGTGCCTCAGCTTCTATGCGAGCGAGTTCTTCCTTTTCCCGTAGTGTTTCGTTCATCGACAGAAGTCGTTGAGCGTTCTGGCCTTGAGTCTTGTATACGGCAGCCATCTCATCTCGCAGAGATGATATTTGTGATTCTAGTGACGCGATGTACGCTGTTTGCACTGCCGTACTGTTCGGAAAATGGGTTGAGTTGAACGGCGTTAAAAGCTCTGCGAAGCCATGCTGCGTACTCTGCACCACTCCCCGAGCTCGTTGACGCGCCTCCTGATGTAGAACGAGCTGTCCCGACAGCGCGAAGTAAGGATTGATTGCGCTCCTTGAGCAGGCGCGTTTGCTGCGAGAGCCTACGATCTGAGCAAGACGATTGCAAATGAGGACATGTACCGCCACAAAAAGGGGCATCCAAAAGCTTCACATTGTTCTATGATTCCAGCATATGCTAATTCCTTCCGATTGCGTTCGACAAGCCGCTGCCTGCAAGCATCAAACATCACATTGCAAAGAGTATGTAAAATGAGTCATTCAATGCTCTTGATTGCATTGGTCATATCCTTACCGTAGTTCTTCTTGCCAGGCTGCACTGGCCATTGATGGAAAAGTGACGAGAGGTACGGAAGTAGCGTGTTCTCAATGAATATCTGGGGTCCTCCTTCCCCAATGAGGATAGGCATGTGACCAACCTGGACCCCCGCCTGACTTGCTTTCCTCGACCCGTCATCGTGCTCGTTTCTGATGTGAGCCATAAGGATAATACGCGATAAGAGAGAGGATGGACTGATGTACCTCTTCCTCTTATGCTGAAGATATATCACTCGTCCTCTTCCCTTCAATTCCCGAAATGGGCCGCGTACTCCTAAAGGTGATGCAATGGCACCGTCTCCTCAATCCTGTGTGGTCGCTCACTCCCATCGTAGGTCATAATTCTTGGCGATAGCGGGTGCGTGATAGGCTAGTGGTTCCCCGACAGACATATTTCTCACCTCGGATCGCAGTGTTGGGAAGACGTCCCTCATGAACCAATACGTGAACAAGCGCTTCAGCAACCAATACAAGGCCACCATCGGTGCTGACTTGTAAGGGATGTTGCCTTTCTCGCATAATCTGTATTTAATGTCCCCTCTCTTTTCCTTAGTCTAACGAAGGAAGTCCTAGTAGACGATAAGACTGTGACTATGCAAGTACGCTGAGTATGATTCACACACTTTTGGTGAATTTGTTCTGATTGGTATTGGTATCACTTAGCTTTGGGACACTGCTGGCCAGGAACGATTCCAATCATTAGGCGTGGCATTTTACCGTGGAGCGGACTGCTGCGTGCTCGTTTATGACGTGAACAGCTCGAAGAGTTTCGAAACGCTCGATAGCTGGCGCGATGAGTTCTTGATTCAAGCTAGCCCTCATGACCCCGAAAATTTTCCGTTTGTTGTTTTGGGGAATAAGATTGATGTGGAGGAAAGCAAGAGACAGGTATGTGCGTTCGCGGAGTTGTAACATGGACTTGCTCAAAACTGTATTGTCACTGTGACAGGTCTCCCAGAAACGTGCTATGACGTGGTGTCAAGCAAAGGGGAATATTCCATATTTTGAGACATCTGCCAAAGAGGCTATTAACGTTGAACAGGCATTCCAAACTATTGCCAAGAATGCCATGAACCAGGAAGAAGAGACTGAACTGTGAGTGTTTACTCTGTTAGTCGGATGCCTCAGGCCTCAGTCATTGATTCTGCTTCAATGAAGTTACGCTGACTACCCCGATCCAATACGGATCAGCGACACCGCTGGACAGACTTATGGGTGCAACTGCTAGGACAGGGTATGCGCGGTGGCACCACATAACTTATCTTGATGTCAATTGGTCCGTTTGGTTGTGCCTCAGGACTTTCGCGTTACTGTGCATATTGATTTTTGAGTCCATGATCGAGTCTTTCATGTCATTCCCTAATTTACGCAATGTGACGCAGCTACCGTGCATGGCGACTCGTACTCACACTTGGTGTTGTACGCGTGGGGGCTCTCGCTGCCAAACATCGGTCAGACCTGAGGGCTTGCGCCGGGATGGCTATCACCAATGGGCTTTGGATTTACAATGGAAAGTCATTCTCGGCGTGTCTGACATTCACGAGTTGAAGGGTCAATATGTACAGCGAATTCATTCCATCGAAGGTATTTGCAAATAAACAGATATGAACCGCGTGGTCGCGAGTGCGTGTCATGAGCAGTATCACAAATTCACATCACAAGCCGGCCAGCCCATCGCATCTTGATGCGAAGACACCTCAGTTATAACCTCCCTTTCAGTTCGCTGTTCATATCTGCCGCGTGAAAGTCTGTTGCTCCGACGATCCACACGCTCGCTCGTTGCAATTCAGCTTCGTAATCTTTTACCATGCACAGGACCACTGCCTGTCGCCTCCTTGTGTCATCAAGACGTGCGACACAGGCAGCGATTCCACCTCATCCTTTACTTCCCAATGTACTGTCCAACCGGCTCCAAATTGAGGGGAGACTTGGACATCCGGCTTTGGACATAAGGATCCTAAGGGCTTTAGAGGAGCACCGGAAGTATGCCAAGCCTTTTGGTAAACGTATAATATTCGAATATGAGACCAATGCCTGCAAAACTCTCAGCATGTACCTTCCTTATGAGTCTGCACCTGATCGGTCGAGACGCCCTCTATTTGACAGAGTTCACGAGGCTCTGGTCCTGGTGGCACATGTTTTGGTGGATGGGTCACAACATAAGATTGCGGTCTCTTCAGGATTTGCTGTGGATGTTCCGGCTCATGATAGTTCCGTAGTTATTTCCTGCGCTCATACGCTAGAAGAAGTGAGCATTGCAGTCTTATCCATATCCAACGTTACATAGGCTCAGCTCGCCGGCCTCGACATCTTCGTAGATACGTCACAGCCCAATCTTCAAATCCTCTTCCTCCAACGGTGGGACATTCGTTATAACTTCTTCTATGGATGTCCACCCTGTATCTTCAATTTTATCGTCGCTCCCTCGGTCAGACTTAATAGCGTACTCCCTCCATCCTTGTGTATATCTCGCAGCTACACTTCCTGTGAATCCTTACCCTGCCCCTCTAGAAACGCCAACAAGATGTCCGCTCGTTTCGTTCGAATCTCCAGAGCCTAACGAGAAGGGCAATAGACGGAACGATTGGCTCAGCTGGAAAGACGGGGTTGTAAATAGTCGATGGGTAAAAGGGAAAATTTTAGGATACCGTGATCGTGCAGGGCGAGAGGCACAGGTGCGGCACACAGACGTCTTCACTTGTTTGGGCTGGAGAGCCAACCTTCTTCGGTAGCCCGGTACCTATGACCATCTATCACATATGTTGTTCTCGACCATGCCTTCGCCTGGTTCTTCAGGAGCACCCATAATAGATGAAGAAAATGGATCGGTGATTGGAGTCATAACAGGCCACGGCATGGTCAACAGAATCGAGGGTCAGAGGGGGTTTGGCACCCCAGCTGAAGCCATATACGAGGTACAGAAATATAATATGCCAGGATGATGAATTGAACCTGTTATGTTACTTGTAGATGTTTTCGCTCCCTGGACTTCAGCAATTCAGCAGCAAGGGGCACTAGAATGTCAACTGGATATGTTGCTTGGAATGTGAGCTTGTGTCCATCAAATAATACATAATGAAACTACAAATCACGATGCTAATCATTAAATTGATCTGCTCCCCACCCATCATCGAAATGGTCAACGTCGTGCGGTTCAGGTATTACAGTTTTTGCACTTTCGATATCTTCTTCAGCGGGGGTAATAATGAGCTCAGGGTCCGATTTCGAGAGATTGAGCAGTGCAGGAATCCCAGTCGAGGGAACGGGTGGCGCAGGAGTTGACCGAGAGGTATGATGCCATGAAACTTGTACTGTACCAATATCGGGAACAGTCGTTCCTTTTCCTAAGGCCTGAAGCAAAGTTTATATAAACCACTGAAGAATAATATGGACAAGTTCTGCGAACCTGCTCGGCAAGGGCTCGGGTTTTAAATTGTACTTGGACCTCATCCGAACTAACCACTTGGAAAGATTCTAGATCCCCTCCAACAGACTTAATGGGAGAACCCAATCAGCGTCATCTCTTGCCGCGATCTCAGAAACCTACCACCTTATACCATTCCTCAAGTTTCGCAAGAGCATGATCATCATCCGCATTGAGTCCTTTCACAACAAGCCTTCGGGTGCGGTTGTCTAATGATATATTCTTGTTAAGTGTCCCGCCGCGTCCACGCGGGGCGACGTATCCACGACCCCGACCCCTCCCTCTTGTCACAAAGCCTCGCCCACGTGGCGGTGGCACTCCTTGGATCTCCTTGGCTGACACGCCAACTTCGGCTGCCTAAATGTATAGAGAAAACCATTTAGAATTCTATAGCAATCTTAATTCCGCGAAGGCTTGCCTCCTTCCGAAGCTCGGCAAGCTGGGCCATCAAGTCACTTTGGTCCCCTCCCGTCCCTTCGATTGTGGTATCCGAGGGTCCCGAGCCATTCTTCACGAGGTCCAGTTCGCGGTCTAGTTTCTCCTTTAGTTTTGACTCGCTGTCAGGAACCGGGGGGATTGGTGTCGGTTTGCTGGAGGCAAGTTCCTTCATCTTTTCATCTACCTCACGAAGTGTAGCCATTATTCCCTTTCTTTTCTCTTGAGGCGCTGATCCTATGCTGTCCATGAGCGACTTCTGTTCGGATATGAGGCGCTCCAGTTCATGGGATTTTGCAAGGTGTTGAGGGAGGTGGCTCGATGTGGGTGGCGTCGTTTGCGTCGTTTGCGTCGGGGGAGGGTGGGGAGGCTTTTTTCCGAGGCCTTGAATAACAGGGGCGGAAGCAGCAAGTAGTTTGGTTCCAGCTGTGCCATGACCCGCAAGAGGACGGTGCCAGAACACTTTCACAAAGCGGTTACCGAAGACGGCTTCTTCGCTCTTCCAGGCTTTGTATGCATCTAGGTGATTTTGGAAGGAGACCAAAGCCTTCGCGGAGGGCTTGTCAATAGCGACATTCGTGACGGTACCAAATTTTTTGAACCATCCATTCACTCCATCCAGTGAGAGATGATCTGGTGGTATTTTCTCCACGACCAATGTTTTGTTCTCATTTTTGGACAAGGGTGGTGCAGAACTTTCGAAAGTGGTGTTTTCTGCATCTGGGAATACTCCGGGCTGTGGTGGCGCACCTCCTCGTTCAATCCTACCCCTGCCACGACCACCTCTCCCGAGATCAGAACCATTCGTGTTCGGCCTACGTCCACCTGGATCTGATGGTGTCACGTCCATCGAGTGACGCCCGTCCCCAGCTGTATCTATAGATAGCTCCACGGCATCAGAAGGAGTGCCAATTTTACTGGATCGGCGCCCGTTCATGTACGGGGGCGGTCGCGATATGTCCATCGAGGCATGATTGGGGTCATATTGCCCCCCTACGTTTGGGGCAGACATCCAGGGCATCTGAAAGCCTTGCTGCATCATCCCCATCATTTGCATGGGGTTAAAACCAGGAGGAACGAACGGCACTGGAGGCACCATGGCTTCATCGCCATGATCAAACGGGCACATAGCCCCTAATGTGCAATACCCTTTGTCTAGACATGACCTTCATGTTAGATTGGCCGAGGCGAGTAAAGTATTTCCTTACTGTAGTAGTCCCGGCATCTCTCCTTGACTGGACCTTTTGTCCGGCCCGGACTTGAATGTCTTCCCCGGGCATCTCGTGGTCCCCCTCTCAGCGAACCACCTCCACGTCCAACATACCGGGTCCCCTCGCCCAGTCGGGGGCCTTTTGGCGGATGTCTCGGTTCATCAAAATCTGCCGTCCGCTTTTGTCCTCTAGGTCCTGTTGGAGCCGTAACCAACGCATCAAGGGGAATGTGGATTCCATTCGATTGTGAAGCAAGATGGGATGACGGCGGTGGCTGACCATCATCATAGGGGATATACGAACGTGTTCGAAGGACTTGGAATAATTTTTCTACGAAACTCTCGGCTTCTACATGCATTCAAAGACCGAACGAGGCCAGTCGCCGCAAAGTTACTAAAACCAAATGCCAAGGTATTCCTGATTGCTCACCATCTTCTAAGAAATCGCGCAGCTGAGCAACAAATGTAGCCCTGAGCTCCTTTTCTGGGGCATCATGCTTGAGTAGGGCAAGGATATAATCACTAAGCACTTCGGGGTCTGCATCGCAACTTAAGGACAGAAGAACGCCAACCTCAAGCTTTGTCATTTCCGCCATTAAGACACACTTACATTGGCTCTAGGGACTTGATTAGCCATGGTTTCAAATGCTTTGTTGTCGAAGGGTCAAATAGCGGCATTTCGACAACCTGCAGACAGGTGAGATCTAAAAAATAGATTCGAATGATTTGGGCGTCACGGACACGTGATATATTCAACGGTGCAACGCGTAAACCAGCTCCAGCTCCAGCATTGCTGCTTGAAGTCGTGAAGGGAGTCGTTCAGACTTCGTCATGTCTGCAGAAACAATCGCACGTTGGAATGCAATATCACTCGTTCGGAAGGTAGTGCACCCTCCCTGCCCCTGTAGCCCCCGCCGCTTTACTACCGCCTGGCTCTTCCTCGCTCCAGCGCTCCAGGTCTAGATCGAGGTCGGATAAGGAAGACGACCCAGATGATGACATTTCTATAGTCTCTCGCTCGCCTTCCCCCATGCCATTAGATCGAGATGAAACTCAGGAGTACGACGCGTTCCACAAAGGGCCAAAACGAGAGACAGTAACTGTTCACACAAAAATCGAATCATCGAACATTGGTCACAAGTTGTTGTCGAAAATGGGTTGGAAAGAAGGCGAAGGCCTTGGGTTGTCAGGACAAGGTTTGTCACGCAGCCTGACTGACATGCCCCCTTTGTAAACAAATGTCTGCTTAGGTCGGGTAGAACCCATACCGTTTGTGCTTAAGAGTGATTCCACGGGGATTGGAAAGTCAGCTCAGGATTTACGCGTCCTTGCTGTGACTGCAACTCAGCGAAGGGATATGGATGCAGAGCGGCAGAGTAGGGAAACCGTCGAGCAACGGCAACAACGCGAGGTAAGCATATGGTTTCCTACGATCCTTCTGATATTGATGGTCGAGCCCTGCGGTAGAATACAGTTGCCAAAGCAGCTGCTATAAGGTCTGAGATTGCAACGACTTTGCGACCCTTCTACTGCGAACTATGTGACAAACAATACACTACGATTGCTCAGTATGATGAACACATTCGTAGCTATGCGCATACCCACAAACAGGTGCTTTGTGACTCCGAACAAATTTTGGATCTCTGACTGACGACAGGATAGAGATTCAAAGATATGGAAGCAGCACAAAAACCCAAGGATATATCAAAAGCCCGAGAGAAGGAGCGCAAACGCGAAGAGAAAGAGCTTAAGCGTCTGGCAGCTGCTTCGGGAGTGAAACTCGCCGCTATCCCAAAACCAGTTGTACCCGTTACCCTCGCCTCACAGCCTGTGGACACGACTTTGGCGGATGTTCCGCCTAATGGAGGTGGTGGCGGTTGGACTTCATTTAAGAAGAACAATTCCGGAGGATTTAGACCTGCAGGGTGGGCAACCGTACAAGGATCCTCATCAGGGACTCCGGGAACCACTGGAGCCTCGGGGACGACAGGGACGGGAGGCTGGGCAAGAGTTACAAGATCAGCCTCGTCCCCCGACGGGCAGCCAATGTCAGCTATCACGGCGCCTTCCCCGGGGATCGTGAAGGATGGACTAACAGACACTCCGAAACCTCGGGGAAACCCGATATTCCAGAGCTCTGGCTTCACGCGACTTGACACAACAACAGATATCCAATCAACCCTGACAATTTCGCCTCCTGCCTGGAAGTCTCCGACACTCACAGCTGAAGCACCAGCCTCTAGATGGTCGAGCCTAGACGCACCCCCTTCTCACTCAATTCCCCTCAGCCAGTCCTCGCCGGAGGCAGAGCGTGGCGTCAAAGGGTCCTCAACAAGCGATGCATCCCTCCCATTACTTCGATCGCAAATTTCTGCACCTGCCCATGCTCCAGAACCGACTATGCCTTCACCGCCCATTCCCCGCTTACCTCCTCCCTCGTCACCACCACCATCCCATCGCCCCCCTTCCCCTCCACGATCTGTTCCCTACAACCTCGGTCAACGTCCTAGAACACTCTCACCTAAGGAGTATGATTCTTCAATCATGCCCCATTTCGATGATTCCCGATCTCATCCTCGAGAACAGTGGCATGGGGACGATGATTACCACAATAATCGACCTCAACGCGGGTATGGTCCTGGATACGATCGTCGTGACCCATACCAAGAGCGGTTTAGCGGGGATACCTATAACCGAGATGATTATGGACGCAGGGATAATTTCGAGAGAAGGGATGACAATTACAGGGATGGACACGCTGATAGGTTTTGGGACCACCGTGGGCGGGGATACTATGGACGTCGTTTCTAGGGTCTAACCCTGACCGCTTGGATATTCATATTGTGTAAGTTGGACGGTTCAATAATTATTTAGGACTCTGAGGCCGTATATGAAAATGCCTGGGTGGAATACGGTACACGAGTGAACAGATCAAACAAGGTTTCAAACAGTGAATAAACTTCAACGAATGGTACAAGATGTCCGTCCGGGCGATGGCCCCGTTGTTAGCGTGGCGATTGTAACGTCCTGAATGAGGTTGCTCTCCATTCCGGTATCGATTATTATTTTAAAGCCAGCAGGGTTTGGGGCTGTCAGATTGAACGTGCATGGATGCACACACGGGTGCTGTTTGCGCTGGGCTACTCCTCGCACATTGGGTCGAGACTGGCCGGTCAGATATATATAATCCCACTGCATCGGCAATCTGACTGGTAATATAATAACTGGGCCTGCTGACTTTAAAGCAGCGATCACCAAATTACTGTAAGGGGTTTGCAATACCTCATGCAGCAAGGTTCTGATGTACCTCATCAAGGCTGTGTATATACTGATGCTGGAGGTACTGGCAAGGCGATCAGATGTCAATCCTTCTCCCTTAATCGCCCCGGCCTCCCACCTTACTACCGACATTCTAACTGTGCGTGCGCCAGTTGCGTCCTATTGAGGATCTCCATTTCCGCCATTCACAAATTTGGCCGACCACCGTGCCACGCGAAGTTTAACCTGAAGTTTGATGCGTTCAAGGCTCACAATAAACATGGACCGTGCCACGGCAGCTGGTCTCTGAGTCTTATAGCTAAGCAAGTGAAGCGCCAATGAGTGAATGTGCAATCGGCAAGGGGATATACAGCTGTCCCCGAATGCAAGGTTCTCCGTAACAATCATGCGGGATTGATCGGGGATCATTCCCGGCCAGCGACCAGTGCTCGATGAACAAGAAAATCAATGCCACGATGGCCTGTACTCCTTCGCCCCCAAGCTGGCTGGAACGAATCCTTCCCTGGAGCGGGTAGGGCAGCTAGGCAGGACCCCATAAGCCTCTACTAAGGTAGAGCAGAGTAGCCTGGGTACTCAGTGCAACAAGCTCTGATAGCTACTCGGGGGGCATACATTTGAAGAATTTGTTAGTAGTGTTGAGCCTGAATCTGATCACACAATCGCAAACAACGTATGACTAGGGAATATTCGTGCGCTCACTGGCGTACATATTCTAGCGCTGTCTGATTCGTCCTATAAGGTTATATCTGCGCTCTGGCTTGTATAGCTATGGCCGATAGTTACGCTCAAAAATATAGTCATATGCAAGGCCGGACGGTGATTAGTACGTACTACACATACCACTAGGCATTTGACGGCGTGTCCTGTTGGAAGTTTAGGTGGTCACGAGACCTAAAAGTCTGCATTGGTCCAAGCTGGTGTGTTACCATTACACCAAACGCCCGCTATAGGCCGAGGTGGTTTCCAACATGTCCAACAGGAGCTAGCACCTATAGCTAGATGCGAGCTAGTTACACAGTCGATGAGAAACAAGTCCGCCCTAGCCTGGTGGGGGTGCGTGAACTGGGGGGACAGAAAGAAGAAATGAAAAGACACAAGAACATTTCTTAGTCAGAAGCGCAGTTATCCGAACTGAGCATCCACATAGATATGCTAACTCCAACATTCTTGTGAGATTTAGAACCACATTGCAGGTCGATTCGTCGACTTTGAACACCATCCGTCCAGCGTATCCTTAATAGCAGCCTTTGGCAGATACATTCGTTATGAAAAAGGGGTAGGGATATGGTTAAGTGATGCCAGCAGCTACGTACATGATTTCCTGTGATTACAGCATCTGCTTCCAGGCCAGCAGAAATGATTTCCGTCGCCGCAAGGGGTCGCACCTTTCGGGAAGCACCTGTGGGGGTTACTGAATAAGAGTATGACCTAGCTCTCATAGAATAGTCGACACGAACGCAATATTATTATAGCACTGTCATAGCAATGCATGTCAACAAGCCCTATCGAGAGATATCATCAAAACAAGCTAACGTACGTAAAATCCTTTCCAGCAGTAATTGCCCGTTCCGCAAGGAGTGGATCCATTAGGAAGGCAGCTGAGTATGAAGTTGATGAACATCTAGCCTGCGTCATCATAGTAGCCTGCAGCCACCCACTATCGTCCATGACACTAGAACGAAAACTCCATCAGCTGAATGGTTCTGTTTGTAGTATAATGGAAATGTGAACCCACGTAGTAACCATACGGACAGCATCCACCATACGGGCACGAGTCTTAGCGGGGGGAAAGAGGCTGTGAGAGAACTGGTTCGAGAAGCGATGACCTGGCCAAGAGAACTCACGATAGCCTCGCCAACATCTCCCTGCAGCTCCGAGGTCTTCAGAACCAGCTCCATGTGGCTCTGCCGCAAGCAGAGGAAGACCTTCGAGCATGCCAATTGGTCCAGGAACAAATGTCCTATCGCGGTGGTCAGGAACGGGCACGGCTCGATCGATTGGGTTGGCGATGCTTTTGGCAAAGAACAAAGAGAGGATGAAGGCAGGGAAAATCAGCCTAAACATTCTCAACATCACTGATTACGCGGGTACGCTAGGTCGCAAGAGGGGCTCGAAGAAATGAGGGAGCTCTTTCTTGGACACCTTCCGACACGCCCACAGACTCAGTTAAATAGGCTGTGCAGCAGCATACTCCCATTTTGTTAGGTAATTATCAGTCTGCAGTGATTTTGGCTGTGACATGACTATCCGCAACGGTAATTAGCTGAAATGGGGTGCTCCTGTGTCAAGCCATGTACAAGGCTGTGGTTGACCAAACAAGGTTACGGAATTGTCCGAATATATTGTGACACGCACCAAATCGAGATCCGGGGGCTGTGGTTTGCGCTGGCAGATCGGGTCGAGACTGGGTTAAATATAATTCCACTGCATCGGCAATCCGACCGAAAGCGTCGATCGCCAAAGAGGTTTTCCAGGCTGTGCTGATGCAGGACCTGGTAAGGTGAAATAGAGTTACCGCTCATCGCTCCTGCTTGTTATCACCTTCCAGCCACTTAACCTGACCATGTCCACTTCTATTCCTTTGCTACCTACTCCTTATATCTTTTCTTACAGGCTGCAGTGCACCATCTAACTAACAGATGATGTACCGCAGATTCCAATAGTGAGTCCTTCCCTCTCAATTTTCCCGGCCTCCCGCCCCGCTACCGACATTCTAACTGTGTGTGCGCCAAGTGCGTCCCATATATTGAGGCTCCATTTCCATCACTTGGCCAACCACCGTGCCGAGGTCTAGCCTGAATTTAAGGCTCACAATATACATGGGCCGTGCCACAGCCCTGGCAGCTAAGTATTCTCTTGGCTAGTTTGATGATAATGAGTGAATGTAGATGTGCAATCGGCACAGGGACATACAGCCGGAGTTGTCCCCGAATCTCCGCGCGTAACAATCATTCGGGCTTGATTGATTGCGGTTAGGGATAAAGTGACATTGTTCCTAACTAGCAGCCGGTGCCCAATCACCTCTCGGATCGTTACATCGGCTGAAAAGTTAGCAGGTATCAATACCGCTCTCACTCCCCAATGCGTCGTGTCTCCCGGCCTGTGCTTCTTTCTTCCTCACTCGGGCTCGAACGAACACCTCCCTGGAGCGGGTAGAGTAGCCTGAGTACTCAGTACAACAAGGGAGCTCTGATAGTCACTCGAGAAAATACACCTGAAAAATCTGCTAGTAATGTTCAATCTGAATCTATTCACTGGCACAAGCGGCGCACGACCAGGACCATCACGGGTTTATTTGGGCGCCAACTGGCGGACATATTCTAGCACCGCCTTATTTGTCAATGCTGTGAGTCTGTATCTGGACTCTGGCTTGGATAGCTTCCTTCCTATAGCCGATAGTCTCAAAACGATAGCCGCATGCAAAGTCGGACGGCGATCAGTGCGTACTACACAAACTACTGAGCATTTGACGGCGGGCCCAGCAAGAGCTAGCACCTATTGCTAGATGGGAGCTGACAACATAGTTACACGGTCGATGAGAAACAAGAGAGGGACAAGTCCACCCTCGCCTGGTAGGGCTGCGTGAACTGAGGGACAGAAAGGAGAAAAGAAACAAGAACATTTCTTAGTCAGAAGCGCAGTCATCCGAACTGAGCATCCATATAGATATGCTAACTCCGACATTCTTGTGAGATTTAGAACCACATTGCCGGTCGATTCGTCGACTTTGAACACCATCCGTCCAGCGTATCCTCAATAGCAGCCTTTGGCAGATACGTTCATTATGAGAAAGGGGGAGGGATATGGTTAAGTGATGCCAGCAGCTACGTACATGATTTCCCGTGATTACAGCATCTGCCTCCAGGCCAGCAGAAATGATTGCCGCCGCCGCAAGGGGTCGCACCTTTCGGGAAGCACCTGTGGGAGTTCCTGAATAAGAGTATGATTTAGCTTTCATAGAATGGCCGACACGAACGCAATATTCTTATAACACTGTTATAGCCATGCATGTCAACAAGTCCTATCGAGAAACATCAATCAAAATAACGTACGCGGAATCCCTGGCAGCAGTAATGGCCAGTTCCGCAAGGAGTGGTTCCGGTGGGAAAGCAGCTAACGTGAAGTTGATGAACATCTAGCCTGCGTCGTCTTAGTAGCCTGCAGCCACTCACTATCCTCCATGACACTAGAATGAAAAAAATCTATCAGCTGAATGGTGTTTTGACCAGTAGAATGTAAATGTGAACCCACGTAAGTACCGATCGTACAGTATCTACCGTCCGGGCACAAGTCTTAGCGGGGGGAGGGATGCTGTGAGAGAACTGCACTGGTTCGAGAAACGGTGGCCTAGCCAAGAGGACTCACGATAGCCTGGACAACTCGCTGCGGCTCCGAGGCCTCCAGAACCAGCTCCATCGTGAGTGGAAGATGGCTCGGCCGTAAGCAGGGGAAGACCCTTGAGTGTACCAAACGGGCCATGAGCAGGACTTGTATCGCGGCGGTCGGGAATGGGCAAGGCTGGGTCGATTGGGTTGGCGAAATTTTTGGCAAAGAACAATGCAAGGATGAAAATCAACCTAAACATTCTCAGCATCGTTGATTACGTGCAAGAAGAGGGGGGCTCTTTCTTGGGAACCTTCCAACATGCTCACAGACTCGCTTAAGTAGGGTGTGCAGCAGTATACAGTCTCATTTTGGTATATAGGTTATTGGTCCGCAGGGATTTGGAGTTTGAGATGATTAGTCCACAGAGCCGCAATGGCAGTCAGCTGAAATGGGTTAACCAAACAGGGTCCGTATCCATGCTCATGCAGGATGATCAGCGCAAGTTCACACCAGAGAAGACCACCAAATCGAGAACGCCAAAAGAAGCATAGGGTTCGTAATATCGCCCACAAGAGGGGCAGGCCCAGCACAATTTCCTTCCCAGCCAGTATAATATGTGGAGGGTGGTCACGGACGTGGGTTACTGTAATGGAGCACTTACACAAGGGGCCCCGCACTTGAGTCGCCACAACACCAAGATTGGCTTTCTTGCATCATTTAATTGTGGGCATCAGTCAGTGCCTGTGCAATATTCCCTTGGGCTTGTTCTGTCATGTGAATTGTACCACATGAGCTGTGGTTGCCCAGGACGTATCCAACAATATCTTTGATATACCGTGGTTGGGGAGAGATGAGGGAGTTTCTGCGGAGGCCGAGCTTGGCACAATTCAGTTCTCATAGAGGCGAACAATGGGCTCAACGGCTGATGCTACGGTATTACACATGACAGGGTTGCAGCAAATGATTGGTTTCTTGGGAAACATGAGTTCTTGCCCAAATCGGGGGTTGGTGTCCACGTCACTATAAATGATCGAGCACAGCCCCAACATCATGAAATTGTGGACTGGTGAGAACTTTGATGAAGGCGCGGTCATTCATCGACTCAGGGCTTGGCGACCATTTTCGAAATTGTACCTGGAAGACTACATAGCTGTTGTGGGTTCAACCGTCATACCCCCAATGGCCAACATAAGATCGTCCCCTGAGATTGCCAAATGCAAACCAAATAGTCGATTAGGTAGGGGTTACTAACTGATGAGAGACAAAAAGGGATGTCAGGGCTTATGCAAGTGCGATGAATGAGGTGAGCCCCGTCGACCTCTCGATGTCGGTTATGTCAAGCCTAGACATGATGGTAGGCAAGTGGCCAGCCTGAACATGATGGCAACTCATAATTAACTTTCTCTTCGCAGAAGCGCTTACATAATAAAAGCCTTGTAGCCACAATGCAATTATGTAGTAGTGTCTGTGAGACGTTGCAATGTTAAAGGTAGTGCATTATGACATTGGCTGCGAAACAACCAGCAGTACTAATTCGCTTAGGGGAAGACTGCTCTTTGAGGGACTTCGGATGGTTGCTATGCGAGAGGGCGGCAAGAATCAGTACCTCAGCGACCACCCAACCAGGAAGCGCAACTTGGGGGAGTGAGTGATTTTCAGGAGTTAGGATTCCGGGATGCATTGATCACCATCTGGGCCACTCGCACGATCAGCTTCCAGCTACACTACATGAGGCACAACAACAGCTGCCCGAGTTATACATCTTTCTCGACCTACAAGTTCTTCACATGAGCAACATGGCTCAGCCGGCCGGAAGCTCATTGATCTTCCGGGCACCATTCATTAATGCTGCGGCACCACGAATCGATTTTCAACACGCTTTTGATAGGGTTGGTGTGGGCAGGATTCAGGCTGTGGATGCGTGTTTGGTTACTTTACTTATACTGTGAATTGATCCATCTATGGTCCGAAAGCACCGCATCCCGTTCGATCTGCGGAGTTAAGTGGAGTGCCGCTCGGTTAGTACCATGGCAGGGGACTACATGGGAATCGTGAGTACTGTAGTTCTACTTTGTTGTTGCTGTTGTTGTTGTTGTTCTTTTCTTTGCATTACCCCTCCAGTTAAGGGATGCCGGGCATGCTACAATTTTGGTGTATCCTCGACCGCGATTCAATGTGCCCGGGACTTGAAACCAAATATGTACAGATGTACAAGTTCAGTGTGATGTTTGCAATGAAAATCTTTCATGTCCTTATGGTCACTAGCCCACAAAATAGTTGAGTCTATTTCGCTCGCCGGTGAGTGCCTCTTTGTGGCATGCAAAGTCATTTTCCCACCTGCCCCTTATACTTGAGCATGAGTGTCTCATCCTTTACAACGATGCCCCAAGCACCAGCGTGATCCATTGTACACTGTTCACAAACCATTAATGCAGCACAAATACTTCTGGACTCATGTCGCAACGTTTCATCAGAAGATTGCCCCAGATCTTGATTCCATGGCCTCTGATCCCCTCAGCTGCAGATTGAGTTATAACGGAGCGTGTGCATGATGCAGGTAGTGCTGTCGTCCACAGTTCGTGATGCGATTGTGGAGCGAGAAATAAAATTTAAATTTCACAACAACTGCTTGAGGAATGAGAAACTCAGGCGGGGTCTCCCCCAATGGTAATGATGTTGACGGTGAACAGAGAGTCACAGTGGGAAGTAAATCGCAGTAAAAAACATTGGGAAACCCAGGTGAAAATCACAGTATTTTACGGTGGGGCACCCTGGTATTATGCCCGGGGTTCCGGGTAAAATACTTGGAATACATGCGCCATTTAAAACCTGGATTCCCCTTAGTAAAACTTGCCGAATACCGGGGTTCCCCTAACACGATTTGTTGAGGATTTACCTGTGGCCCCAAGGTATTATACCAAGGGTTTTCCAGGTGTTACTCTCTGTGTAATTTACTGTGGAATACCCAAGTTCTGACTCATGTTTTTTACCGTGCGCGCGGCAGTATTGTACCATGGTATCATACTATGCTTTTCCGTAGTTTCTTCCTTTGGACACCATTGTATTCAGGATGATAGGAACATATTTTACTTACTTATGCTAATACAAGAAGGCTATACAGCATGGTGCGAGTGGAGAAAGCAAATTGGATGGGGCAAATGGGGAGAATATGACATGATGCACCGTGTTTCCCACCAAAGTGAACGTGTGAGAAGCGAGCAAGAGCAGTGCCTGTATGATAAGAAGCATGAGATGAGCGCTGAAAAGATTGTGGTATCGCACCAGAATGGATAACTCGGAGAATGTAGAATGTAGTACCTGTCTATTGATCATGCGACGATCCACCACCCGATGGGGAAAATTCTGGTGGCCTGTCTCTCAGGTAACCCTGAAGCATAGTATAGCACATGTGGCAGCTTGTGGAGTGCAGCCGATTGCAAAGTGAAAGAGAAGTGAAGGTGACTTTAGGATCGGGAATCGTGAAAATATTAGAGTCTGGTCATATGAACACACCCAGGGTATCACTCATGTCCCCATTCGATGGGCCTTGCAGATGCGTCAAGGGTACAGTGCAGTAGGATACACTGCCATGCGTGATGTGGTGGGAGAAAAGCTAAGTCCTAAGTCTCCACTCGAGACAAACAAAAATAAACGAGAGTCGCCAGTCACTAAACAACCCCTTCCTATTCCAATAGAGGCTGGTCGCCTGCCTAACCCCCTCCCCATCAATAGACCTCACTAACATCTCCCTGCGGTTGAATGTGGGATTCTAGCTCAGAATCTCTGTCAGGGATCGCTCGTCAGTCCGAGTCGAATATCGCCCGAAAACCTAGTCGTAGACAAAGCTGAGGTTCCAACCCTCAGCAGCACATAGAGCTATATACACGAGTGACATCAATCAATCGGAAGAGATAGGATCAAAGGAACTAAACAATGATCCGATAGAAAACGAAGTGAATAGAGATGAAGGAACACTCGGATCAGGGGCAGAGTCGGATCAGGAGAAGGTGAGGGATTTACGATATATGAGGGCCGATGCGGCTACATGCGGTGATATAGTCTTATGCGATATCGATAGGGTAACAGAGAACTGCTTACGCTATGTCCCCTGACAATCTCCCTATCTGGTTGTGCTATCCATTTGAGCGCCGAGTGGCAAAATTGTCGATCTTAATGCTGCCATTAGGAGATGGGACATCCAGCAACGTTAGGCTATAGTACTATTTACAGTGGGCAACAAAACTGTTCACATGTTTTGCTGTTTTGAAAGACACACTCATACAGGCTTAGGAAAAATTCTGAAAATTCTGAGAAATTCATAGAAGATGCTCTGACATCACAAAATGGTCATATACCCATTTATGGAAATGTAATTGTCAGATGAAGTCACCCATTGCATGTGAATGGTTTTGTTGCAGCAATAATTCTACTATATTAATACTTGGTATACCCCCCTTTGCCTTAATTACAGCTTGTACTCTTCTAGGCATACTTTCTATCAAGTTCTGACACACCTCCTTTGGTATCTTCTCCCATTCCACCTGACAACGATCCCAGAGCTCCCCCACACCACTTGCAGGAGTTTCATAGTCAGCCAACCTCCTTTTCACATGCCACCAGAGATGCTCTATGGGGTTAAGGTCTGGGGACTGTGCTGGCTACTTCATAACAGTGTAGTTATGACCTTGGAACCACTTTTGAGCAAGTTTGCTGCAGTGCTTTGGGTCATTATCCTGTTGGAAGATAATGTCCTCAGGGGTTTTGTTGTAGAATTTGAGGGATTGCTGGAGTTCATCTTCCAAAATGGAGCAGTAAAGCTGTGCATCCATCTTCCCTTCCATCCTAGTGGCATACCCAACACCCTCCCACAGCATGCAACCCCACATCATCACATTTCCACCACCAAACTTCAATGTTCCCTCAACCTGCCTATCAGTAAGACCCTCTCCTGCCTCCTTCCACACCCACTTCCTGCCATCTGACCCAAGGCAATTGATTTTAGTCTCATCAGACCACACCACCCTCTTCCAGTCATCCACAGTGTACTCCTGGTGCCTCTCAGCCCACAGCATCCTTGCCTTCTGATGGACTGGTTTCAGAAATGGGCGCTGAAGGAGAGAACGAAGGAAGGTCAGTTGGGAGGTTCAAACGAGACCACCACCAAGCTGTTCCCTGGTTCTTTAGTTAGGATGGGGAAGTGTACTAGTGTTATTTATTGTAAATATAGTACCAATCCGAGTGTTTTGGCTAATTCTATTTTTATGGGTTAGTTTTAAAGTTCCTGGGAATTGACTTACAGATAAACCGAGCCCTGCGGAGCTGTTTCTTTATTGAAATTTCTTAATTTGTCTAGGTGTAATTCTGTGTAGCGTTGTTTAATT